CACGAAATGCAACCGAAAGTAGATCCAAGAATATTTGGTCAGCGCAGGAAGTGCGACTCTACTTGAGTTTCATTATGAAAAATTAGGGAAGGTAACAGGAAAGTAGTTCTGTAGTTGTAATATTTTCTCCTATATGTTTTATTTCTCATATATTTTGACTTTCTATATTGAAGAAGGGTATGGCCTTTTCATGCTGAAAGGCCAAAGTGTAATCGGATATGTCAAATTGCAAATGGCTATGTAAGAGTCTATTCTTTTATTTGTTGTTATTCTAGATAACACTGCTTGATTTTCGAAATGTAAATGGACTCCTATTTCGTTTTGTAAATCCGTCTATTATTTGGGTTTGAAGTACCGGTTGTTTCCTTTGAATATTGCAATTTTCAACTTTTTGAAATTGTTGACAAAATCTTTCTATGGAAATACGAAATCCTTAGGTGCAACCTTGGTGTCTCCCGTGTGGTGTTTGGTTATGATTTATTTATTTTTTAAGTTAATGAACTCAGAAATATACATTATATCATTGGTTGTTATAGTTTCTTCCTATTAAATCCGGTAAATAACTAACTAGGATAAGACTCCTACCTATTTCAGAGAAATTGGATGGATAGTATCATGGTACATTGGAATACTTAGGTATTATATTTAAGAGTTACTTGATGGAGATATTTGTGATGTGTACAGATGATGGATAAGAGTTGGATCGATTTTCCAAATAGGATGTTCGAGCGAATACATAATGAGCATTGATGAATTCCTGGTGTGTTTGCCTTACACCAATAGGGTTTGAAGGTTCGGCATTGATCAGTTGTCCGGTAGAGTGGTGAGAATCGATTACTATTTTGTACGACGAGGGGTACAGGCGAGCATCTGATTTTGAATGGTTTTTTTAAAAAAAACACAACATTGGATCTAATATGGGGATCTATGTATCTCTGCATGGTAATCGAATGAGAATGAAACATTAGCTAATTCAGACATTGGGGATGATATGTTGGATGATACAAGGGGCTATGGAATCCACATTGCCGATACAAGTGTTGGAGGGTGATGACCACAGGGCCTTGATCCCGCATGCATTTGAACCCCAGCTCGGTTCCAAATCCAGAGACTGCAAAGTCATTTCAAAACTTCTTTCAAGATGCCACAAAGTGAATTTTATCCGGTTTCAGAAGTTCACCATCTTTGTCATTCATCTGTTCGACTTTTACATTGAGGTGCTTAATTCAGTGGACAGGCAGTCTGTATGACTGCTGCTTGAGTTAGTTAATAAGGCGTTCCCGTTTGGGGTGAACAGAAACTCCCGGACTTCAATTATAAAGCTCAAAAGCTCACCAACAGATTTGGGCTCACGCTATGAGACGTGGGATGCATGTACCCTAACAGTTGCAATCTGATAAATGTGTCATATTTGCAACAGTTGTAAGATGGAAATCAAATCGTGCATGGTGGTTCAAATAGTCTTAAACAAAGTGGCAAACGAATAGCTGCAATAGCATGAGTATTTTCCTTTAAAGCCAGGTTGCAGAGTGTTTATTGTCATCCAAGGACGGCCAAGTTAACTGAGATGGCATTGCCAGAGAACGACACTGATGGGATGGTGTCTTCAGGCATCCTTGCTGACTCCCTTGCATGAAGATTCCTTGACCGCTCGGAATATTGAGTTTAGTAATGATTGCCGAAGTGTAAGGCTGGCTTCAGCATCTGGGATTGGTTTTAAACACCATTCATGAACGATGAACATATTCATAGCACTTGGCCCGTTGTGCTCGTTCCATACAACTTGCCGCCATGGATGTGCATGAAGCAACCAGTTTCTAATTTAGCCGTGCTATTTGACGGCCCCAAAGGACCTCGTGACAAGATTGATAGATGTACCATGCAACCGTTGATTGAGGAGTGCAAAGAGAACTATGGGAAATGAGGTGTTGTCAACATTTGATGCATCAACAAATCAATGTTTTCAAAATAACATGCAGCCTTTACGTGGACAATTAGGATTTTCCTGCATACGCAACTTGTCAGGATGGAGCGACTAAGGCGAATATGGGCATGTCCTACTGTTGCGTAATAAGGAAACTAACATCGTTGTGGTTGAAGCATAGTAGAGAAACAATTCATACTTGGGTCATTCGCAGATTTTTACCAACACTGGACCCATAAATTTCCAGGAAGGATAAAGTATTCATTTGATGGGACTCGGCGAGTACCGACGCAAACCCAAATTGTGGTCGGAACTGAGATGTTGCTACAATTAGAATCTGAGGGTATTTTAACCCAATACAAGAGGGAATGACCTTAAGGAGAGGCATCAGGGAGACAGGTCTACGAGCAAGAGAAAAGCTGGACATCTCACCCACAGTTGGAAGAAAAAGAGTATTCTTTTATGAATGCCAATATCGTGGAGCACAATCTAATAAGACACAACCTTCGATTGATGCATTTTAAGAAGAATGTTTTGACAATGTGTTTGTGGACAATATTAGGGTTGTTCAGGAAATCGAAGGATGGTTATATGCTCGGCGTGATTTACAAGATATGAATATTAGAAAACCCTACATTTGCAGTTAAGAGGGTCGAATAAAGCCTATTTACCAGCAGCACAATTCACGATGACCAAGGATGAGAAAGATTGTTGAAAGTGTTGAGGAAGTAAGAGTTCCCGACGGCTATTCATCCAATATATCACGTCGGCGTGTGCGCTCACATGATAGAAGTACTTGGGGGTCTTAAGAGCCACGATAGTCATATTTTGATGCAACAACTTATTCCATTGGCTATTTGCAGATCGTTACCGAAGAATGTAATTGAACCCTTGATTGAATTGAGCATTTTCTTTAGACAATTGTGTTCAAAAGTGAATCATGCGACGGATTTGTAATATATTCAAGATCGTATCACTATAACACTTTTTCATCTAGAGAAAATATTTCCTCCGAGTTTTTTTGATATAATGGAGCACTTGCCTATACATCTAGCTGATGAAGCTTTATTGGGTGGAGCGATTCAGTTTCGATGGATGTATCCAATTGAGAGGTATCTTCTTACTTTGAAGCAATACGTGCGTAATAGAGCTCATCCTGAAGGATCAATTGCTAAAGGATATCTTATGGAAGAATGCATGAATTATTGTGCACAATATCTCAGTGTGTGGAAACCAAATCTAGTCGACCCGTGAGGAACTATAGTGGTGCTGATAATTTGGGTCATGCTACTGATGAAAACACAAGCTTTTATCTTGATAATACTTCTTGGGTACAAGCTCATCGGTACATCTTATGCAATACAAGCGCGGTTCAACCATTCATAAAGTAGGTTAAGTCACTCACTCAATATTTTATTATGTTTTATTGAATTTTCAACTAAAATTTTTGTATGGCTAAAATTTCAGTCTACACAGCAAACACCTTGAAGTACTTAAGCTCAAAATGCCTCGTGTCGACGATCATCAACTTCGGCGTGAACATTTTGAAACTTTTCACATTTGGTTCAAGGAACATGTATGTATTTAACTCTATAGATTCTAGTTACTTAAGTCGATCTACATTTTAAATTTTACATTTTCGTGTTAAATAGGTCCAAACTTTGCGAAGGACTACTGATGTCATACTTTCTGAAGAGATTATTCTATTGGCAAATGGTCCTCATAACCTGGCAAGGAGGTTCAACGGGTATATACTGAATGGGTTTCGGTATCGAGTAAAGGCCATGGATGATCGTCGAGCCACACAAAATTGTGGTGTAGCTTTGAAGGTAGATACCATAAGTTATGCTAGTCGAAAAGACAAGAATCCTCGTGTGGGGTCTGTGTACTATTATGGACAATTGACAGATATTGTTGAGATTCGATATTCCAATGAGAAGAAACATGTGTTGTTTAAGTGTGATTGGATTGACAACATTCACGGAAAGAAAGAAGATGTCTTCAATTTCACGTTGGTGAACTTCAATCATTTGTTGTACCGAGATGATCGAATTACCAATGAACCTTTCATCTTGGCGTCCCAAGCAGAGCAAGTTTGATATGTTGCAGACCCGTTACAACCAAACTAGCAAGTCGTGGTGAAGATGTCTCAAAGAGGTTTATTTGATATGAGTTCGACTGATCCACAAATCGAGCCATACATGAGCCAACAATTGGAAGAAAATATAATGCTTCGTGATGAAGAAGTTAGTTGGGTGAGGAAAGCCGCAGAAGGGGAAACAGTTGATGTTCAAATAGGCTGATAGTGGTGGAAACATTAGTAATTCAATTAAGGCCAAGGTTGTAGTTAATCATCAATTTCTTAATTTACTTTGTCTTTGTAATTGTATTAGTTCAATTAATGTCATATTATAGTTGACGACAAATCATTGTCTATGTTTCTAATGTCAATTAATGTTATATTGCTTGCAGATTATTATGGGAAGGAAGAGGAAGCCTGATCATCCCCGGCGCATGATGTCTGATGTGCTACATAACAGGACATCAGTAGCACCACCATCAGAGGAGGCATCACATTGGCCACTATCAGAGGGGCCTTTAGTGGCACCACAGCAGCTACCATGTACTCAGCCTCCACGCCTACCATCAGTGCGTCCACCATTAGTGGCACCACAGCAGCTATCATCATCAGCTTATGAGCCATCCACAGGTATATAAATTTGCTTTGATTTGTATGAAAATTATATAAACATACATTTATTTATGCTCATTATATATAACTTGTTAATTGTCATTGTATTTTGCAGACCCTTCGACTTCTTCACAGCCCACATCAGGTTTATTTGATATGATTTGTATTCACATTATTTAAATTTGCATTTGGTTGTTACCATTGCATATTGTTTATTATTATTGTATATCGCAGGTCATGTTAGTTCTTCATCAACCTCGACTAGGCGTGGTAGAGGATGTGCCAAGGGCATTAAAGAGTGGGGTACTGGTAAAAAGATAATTAACAGACACAGACCAAACCACATACCAAGATACAGACACCAAACCGAAGGCCACAATTCAGCGGAATGGTAACATTGTTCCTCTTACTTTTGTTGACTGGAACAGTGTGTCTGATGATATTATTGATGCTATCTGGAAGGATGTGAAGGTAAAAATATATTTTTGTCCACAAATTTGAATTCCAAAATTGTGTTATTATTATTTAAACTTTGACATTGTGTTTTATAGGACAATTTGAATATATGTCCAGAGGAGTACAAGCCAATCTACATGAAAAACTGCAACAGCATATGGATGGATCACAAGAACAAGCTTAAGGCAAAGTATTTCAAGCCTAGAAGTTCTGATCCTAATCTGAAGGATGATGTTCCTATGCACATTGTGCCATGCTAGTGGGAAGAACTTGTGGAGTATTGGCGTACTTCCGATGCTGAGGTATACAATTACGTTATATTTATGATATGTAAACATACAAATCATATTTACATACTTACATTTGTTGAACTTGTTATAGAAAATTGCAAGTAGGAACGCTAAAAATCGGCGAGCTCACGGCATAGCTCATACCACAGGGCGTACTACTTTCTCTCAGATACGGCATGAGGTTTACATTTTATTGTTTTATTTTTCTATATAAATAAACATTGTATATTTGCAAATTATTTGGATTCTAATTTTCATATTTCTAAAAAAAAATGTAGATGACCAGTAAGGGGGAGTCTACTGATAAGATGAATGTTTGGCTTATGACACGTAGAGGAGATGACCCAGAGGTTATCCAGACCTTGGTAGTTTCCAAACACCTTTGATTGTATTTAAAGTTTATTTTTTGTGTGTCAACCATCTTAATTTGGCATATACTTATATGTCTTATTCAATACAGGATGGGTTTAATCGTCAACTCTCTATGCTACCTGAGGATGGTCGAACTTTGGAGGCTAGGAATGCCATTTTCCATGAGTTGATAGGTCATGACGGACATGGATATTGTCGCACATACGGGAGAATTGTGCCTCGGAGAGCGGTGTATAAAGATGGTGCTGGGCCATCACAATCAACACCCCAGCCATCGACTATTGATTAGATCACGTAGAAGGTTCGTGCAGAGCTAAGGGATGAGTTGAGGGAGGAGCTACGAGAAGAGTTCTCTACACATTTACAGCAGATGAGAGCTGAGATGATGGCCTTAGTGTCACAGGGGGCAAGTGTGGATCCCAACAGACAGGTTCGATATAAATTAAATTGTTTGATAGTTCAATTTTCACACAAGATTATGTATAAAATTCGAATATGATTAACACATTATGTATTGACTATCATATGTTCCTGATGCATCGAGTGGCCATCGGGCATTTAGGGAATCTGCAGAAGACGAGAATCCATATACACCACCACCAGAAGACCAGGTATAAAATGTATCTTTGCATTCTAAGCTAAAATGTATCTTTGCATAATTTAGACATTCTAAGTTAAAGCGAGACTTGTGGGAGAAATCGGGGCTCGAATCGGGTTCCCGGTTTGGGAGTTAGAGTTGGATTTCACTTTAGGCAAACTAGTTCCTTAAGAAACTTGAATTCGATGAGTTAACGCCCCAAAGTCACCAAACGGCGTCGGTTTAGCAAGAAACCCGGCACACATGACCGCCTAGGCACGAGAGACTTGTGGGAGAAGACGGGGCTCGAATTGGGTTCCCAGTTTGGGAATTAGAGCCGGATTTCACTTTAGGCAAACTAGTTCCTTTAGACACTTGAATTCGAGGAGTTAACGCCCCAAAATCACCAAACAGCGTCGGTTTAGCACGAAACTTGGCACACACGACCGCCTAGGCACGAGAGACTTGTGGGAGAAGACGGAACTCCAATCGGGTTCCCGGCTTGGGAGTTAGAGTCGGATTTCACTTTAGGCAAACTAGTTCCTTAAGAAACTTGAATTCGTGGATTTAACGCCCCAAAATCACCAAACGGCGTCGGTTGAGCACGAAACTTGGCACACGCGACCGTCTAGGCACGAGAGACTTGTGGGGGAAGACGGGGCTCGAATCGGGTTCCCGGTTTGTGAGTTAGAGTCGGATTTCACTTTAGGCAAACTAGTTCCTTAAGAAACTTGAATTCGTGGATTTAACGCCCCAAAATCACCAAACGGCGTCGGTTGAGCACGAAACTTGGCACACGCGACCGTCTAGGCACGAGAGACTTGTGGGGGAAGACGGGGCTCGAATCGGGTTCCCGGTTTGTGAGTTAGAGTCGGATTTCACTTTAGGCAAACTAGTTCCTTAAGAAACTTGAATTCGTGGATTTAACGCCCCAAAATCACCAAACGGCGTCGGTTGAGCACGAAACTTGGCACACGCGACCGTCTAGGCACGAGAGACTTGTGGGGGAAGACGGGGCTCGAATCGGGTTCCCGGTTTGTGAGTTAGAGTCGGATTTCACTTTAGGCAAACTAGTTCCTTAAGAAACTTGAATTCGTGGATTTAACGCCCCAAAATCACCAAACGGCGTCGGTTGAGCACGAAACTTGGCACACGCGACCGTCTAGGCACGAGAGACTTGTGGGGGAAGACGGGGCTCGAATCGGGTTCCCGGTTTGTGAGTTAGAGTCGGATTTCACTTTAGGCAAACTAGTTCCTTAAGAAACTTGAATTCGTGGATTTAACGCCCCAAAATCACCAAACGGCGTCGGTTGAGCACGAAACTTGGCACACGCGACCGTCTAGGCACGAGAGACTTGTGGGGGAAGACGGGGCTCGAATCGGGTTCCCGGTTTGTGAGTTAGAGTCGGATTTCACTTTAGGCAAACTAGTTCCTTAAGAAACTTGAATTCGTGGATTTAACGCCCCAAAATCACCAAACGGCGTCGGTTGAGCACGAAACTTGGCACACGCGACCGTCTAGGCACGAGAGACTTGTGGGGGAAGACGGGGCTCGAATCGGGTTCCCGGTTTGTGAGTTAGAGTCGGATTTCACTTTAGGCAAACTAGTTCCTTAAGAAACTTGAATTCGTGGATTTAACGCCCCAAAATCACCAAACGGCGTCGGTTGAGCACGAAACTTGGCACACGCGACCGTCTAGGCACGAGAGACTTGTGGGGGAAGACGGGGCTCGAATCGGGTTCCCGGTTTGTGAGTTAGAGTCGGATTTCACTTTAGGCAAACTAGTTCCTTAAGAAACTTGAATTCGTGGATTTAACGCCCCAAAATCACCAAACGGCGTCGGTTGAGCACGAAACTTGGCACACGCGACCGTCTAGGCACGAGAGACTTGTGGGGGAAGACGGGGCTCGAATCGGGTTCCCGGTTTGTGAGTTAGAGTCGGATTTCACTTTAGGCAAACTAGTTCCTTAAGAAACTTGAATTCGTGGATTTAACGCCCCAAAATCACCAAACGGCGTCGGTTGAGCACGAAACTTGGCACACGCGACCGTCTAGGCACGAGAGACTTGTGGGAGAAGACGGGGCTCGAATCGGGTTCCCGGTTTGTGAGTTAGAGTCGGATTTCACTTTAGGCAAACTAGTTCCTTAAGAAACTTGAATTCGAGGTGTTAACGCCCCAAAATCACCAAACGGCGTCGGTTGAGCACGAAACTTGGCACACGCGACCGTCTAGGCACGAGAGACTTGTGGGAGAAGACGGGGCTCGAAACGGGTTCCCGGTTTGGGAGTTAGAGCCGGATTTCACTTTAGGCAAACTAGTTCCTTAAGAAACTTGAATTCGAGGTGTTAACGCCCCAAAATCACCAAACGGCGTCGGTTGAGCACGAAACTTGGCACACGCGACCGTCTAGGCACGAGAGACTTGTGGGAGAAGACGGGGCTCGAAACGGGTTCCCGGTTTGGGAGTTAGAGCCGGATTTCACTTTAGGCAAACTAGTTCCTTAAGAAACTTGAATTCGAGGTGTTAACGCCCCAAAATCACCAAACGGCGTCGGTTGAGCACGAAACTTGGCACACGCGACCGTCTAGGCACGAGAGACTTGTGGGAGAAGACGGGGCTCGAAACGGGTTCCCGGTTTGGGAGTTAGAGCCGGATTTCACTTTAGGCAAACTAGTTCCTTAAGAAACTTGAATTCGAGGTGTTAACGCCCCAAAATCACCAAACGGCGTCGGTTGAGCACGAAACTTGGCACACGCGACCGTCTAGGCACGAGAGACTTGTGGGAGAAGACGGGGCTCGAAACGGGTTCCCGGTTTGGGAGTTAGAGCCGGATTTCACTTTAGGCAAACTAGTTCCTTAAGAAACTTGAATTCGAGGTGTTAACGCCCCAAAATCACCAAACGGCGTCGGTTGAGCACGAAACTTGGCACACGCGACCGTCTAGGCACGAGAGACTTGTGGGAGAAGACGGGGCTCGAAACGGGTTCCCGGTTTGGGAGTTAGAGCCGGATTTCACTTTAGGCAAACTAGTTCCTTAAGAAACTTGAATTCGAGGTGTTAACGCCCCAAAATCACCAAACGGCGTCGGTTGAGCACGAAACTTGGCACACGCGACCGTCTAGGCACGAGAGACTTGTGGGAGAAGACGGGGCTCGAAACGGGTTCCCGGTTTGGGAGTTAGAGCCGGATTTCACTTTAGGCAAACTAGTTCCTTAAGAAACTTGAATTCGAGGTGTTAACGCCCCAAAATCACCAAACGGCGTCGGTTGAGCACGAAACTTGGCACACGCGACCGTCTAGGCACGAGAGACTTGTGGGAGAAGACGGGGCTCGAAACGGGTTCCCGGTTTGGGAGTTAGAGCCGGATTTCACTTTAGGCAAACTAGTTCCTTAAGAAACTTGAATTCGAGGTGTTAACGCCCCAAAATCACCAAACGGCGTCGGTTGAGCACGAAACTTGGCACACGCGACCGTCTAGGCACGAGAGACTTGTGGGAGAAGACGGGGCTCGAAACGGGTTCCCGGTTTGGGAGTTAGAGCCGGATTTCACTTTAGGCAAACTAGTTCCTTAAGAAACTTGAATTCGAGGTGTTAACGCCCCAAAATCACCAAACGGCGTCGGTTGAGCACGAAACTTGGCACACGCGACCGTCTAGGCACGAGAGACTTGTGGGAGAAGACGGGGCTCGAAACGGGTTCCCGGTTTGGGAGTTAGAGCCGGATTTCACTTTAGGCAAACTAGTTCCTTAAGAAACTTGAATTCGAGGTGTTAACGCCCCAAAATCACCAAACGGCGTCGGTTGAGCACGAAACTTGGCACACGCGACCGTCTAGGCACGAGAGACTTGTGGGAGAAGACGGGGCTCGAAACGGGTTCCCGGTTTGGGAGTTAGAGCCGGATTTCACTTTAGGCAAACTAGTTCCTTAAGAAACTTGAATTCGAGGTGTTAACGCCCCAAAATCACCAAACGGCGTCGGTTGAGCACGAAACTTGGCACACGCGACCGTCTAGGCACGAGAGACTTGTGGGAGAAGACGGGGCTCGAAACGGGTTCCCGGTTTGGGAGTTAGAGCCGGATTTCACTTTAGGCAAACTAGTTCCTTAAGAAACTTGAATTCGAGGTGTTAACGCCCCAAAATCACCAAACGGCGTCGGTTGAGCACGAAACTTGGCACACGCGACCGTCTAGGCACGAGA